TTTTATTTATTTTATTTTTTTAATTATTAAATTAAAAATAAAGTAAAATAAAGTAAAAATAAAAATAAAAATTTTGGAAATGAATATTAATTATCCAATGATGAAATTTATAAAAATTTCAAATCGTAAATTTTTATAAAATTTTTAAGTGAAAAATTTTATCTAAATTTGTCCCAAATGGTGGAATAATATAGATAAAATTTCAATAACAATAATTAATATTTATTTTCAAACAAAAAAAATTAAAAACATAAAAAGCATAAAAATATAAAATTTTTGAAATTAAATACAAATTACCCAAGGATGAAATTCTTAGAAATTTGAAATGGTAAATTTTTAAGAAATCTCTAAGTGGAAAATATACTTTAAATTTGACCCAAATGGTGGAATGATTTAGATGAAATTTCAATACAAGTAATTGTATTCTTTTTCAAATAAAAATTTGGATTGAAAATATTTGATAATTATCTGAAAATGAGATTCTTAGAAATTTCAAATGGTAAATTTTTAATAAATCTTTAGGTGAGAAATTTTCTCTAAATTTGACCCAAATGATGGAATAATTTAGATGAAATTTCAATAAAAATAATTGTCATATTATTTTCTTTCCAAGAAAAAAAAGGGAGAATTTTTAAATAGGCTCAAATGGTGAAAATTTTAGAAATTCAAAAGAGAAAATATTTTTAATTTGGCCCAAATGGTGAAATAATTAGATTTATTTTCAATGAAATTTGATAATAATAAAAAATAATAAATAAATCTTTTTCTGACGACAAAGCCTCTTTAAGAAATCAAATGAAATTCTTGAATACTCTTGAGGTGAGGAAGTATTTTTTAAGAGTTTTGCCAAATTGATGGAGAATCTTAAAAGTTGTTTCCAATATTTAACATAAAATTTGAAACCATTAGACTTCGAACCTTAGGATAAATTTGAAATAATATGGTACCATCCCTTGGATGGGCATATGAGGGTGCTATAAACTTTCCTATATGTAACTGAACTCCCGAACCCTATTCTGGTTAGTAGACCCAAACCTATTCTTTTAAGGACCCTTAGTCAAGCTTAAGAGTTCCTTAAAAGGATAGATTCCTTAGGTGACCAATCACACCTAATAAAAGATTAGTGGCAACTCCATTCATTTGTTAAATCTAGCTATAGATTTTCGGATCTATATGTTATGACACACATCATCAACATAGCTCATTAAGGCGCGCCCCTTGCCTTAGAAAAACACGTCATCAAAAGTAGCTTGTCAAACAAACATTGCCTGCCCGTTAAGCACATTCTTATAAACTTTTGTCAGAGGTCTAAGGATGGCACTTTATAACCTCATCTCAGACCTAGAGGCACTTGTTACATTTATTTGCTCAGTCAACAAGGTTAACTCCCTCAGACACCCAGCCAGTGCATGCGTATCTACCACATCACCTCACCATAAAGCTGGCTTGCCCTTCACTAGAGAAGGCCTTGTCTAACACCTTTACTAACGTCCCATCAATATATCATTTCAAAACTAAACACTTTGTCACCAACTTAGTTGGGACCATTAAATGCAGCCCACATTTGTCCAAAACATTAAATGCAATTTGTAGTCAACTCACGTGTACCTTTTTTGAGCTTCACATAAAGTCAACATCAACTGTCAATTGTCTTAGTTAAATTAATACCTCTCATCTCATACATAAGGTAAAGAGAAAGCCTAGGTACGTAAGACAAACATTTTCCCTCCATTATAGCTTTCTTAGCACATTTCACCTTCTTTCTCTTAAAACTCTAAACATCTCACTAACTTGAATATCAAAGCACATTCCGAAAAACCCACTCCAACATTTCTTGATTGTGCTTTCTAGCTATAGGTCTAGGTTCCATTACCTCCAACCTCAGAACTAGCTCTCATCTAGCTAAGACACCTAAAAACATCGCTAACAAAAATAATTGATTTTTATAATTTTCTACAAGTTTAAGATTCAAATGATGAAATATGGGATTTTAGTAGGTGAATTTTCTTTAAATGGGAAAATTAAAAAAATTCATACAAATAAGTGTTTAAAAGAGAAAAAGTCAATGACCTTAAAATGTACCACCATATAGTAGGATATTAATGAGATTTGAATTTTGGAATTGGAAAAAAAAAAAGAAAGAATAGCAAATGAATAAAAAAGAAATGAGATAAATTTCATGAAAGCACGTGTTGAAATTGTGCATGGTCGTGGATGCAACTTTTAATTTTTGTTATCAAATTTTTGTGAAGTAAATTATGAAATCATACGCGTCATTACAACCTTATTTGGTAATTAAGGAAAATGGGTTATTCAAACTTTTTTATTGTTTATATATATATATATATATATATATATAAATTTATGATGATATGTTTCAACTAGCTTAGTGGCTAATTAGGGATATCAACTAGCAGCTACCTTCACTGTCTAAAAATGAATAGAGGTTGGAGACATGAGTAGCATAATAGATCATTGATTATTATCTATTAAGAGCTAATTAAACAAATGAATTTGCTCATGATTAGCCAATAATAAAAACCAATTACAATGAGTAAGCACACAAACATTTGTAGTTGATTGATTGTGTGAACAATTTGGCTTTCACATGATTAATATTTACTTATCTTTTAAATGGGAATTGGAGTCATGGAGTTCTAGACCTCCACTTAGCTTTATTCAAATACTAAGAAAATAATGTAGAAGAAATCTAATGCATTTACAAAAAGAAGCATGTAAATGAACAAACAAGACCATGATTATATAAGCTTATTAAAGGATGATTTTGTTTATTCATATTTACTTTGGTATATACACTTTTATTTTAGTATGTATTCTTCTTATTAGAAGAAAATAGATTCAAATATTTAATTGAAATATACAAATATATACATTTATCATTGAACAAAATGTTTGAATGCAATATTTATATCATTATTGGCTGGATTCAAAAAAATTTTTCGAAAATGCCAACTTACAATATATAAAAGAATTTGAAATAATGCATTGCCAAATTGTTACAATTGTCCACTATGAGTTTTCATATCTTGAAAAAAAAAAAATAATTGCATCATTACTAACATTTCTAAATATATCATTCTCAATATATATAATTAAACAATCATAAATTTATTAATTCTGTCAACAAAAAGGATGTTTAAGAAAAAATTTGAAAATATTCAAAAAAAATATTTTCTTCAATTTTTTTTATTTTTCATTTTGAAAATGTTCATGAACACTCTATCAACTTATCCGGATCCGCCTCTGAGCTGGAGTACCATGGCAATATGAACATATGAAAGAATGTTTTGTAGATGCATTTTACTCTAGTGGATATACTTCTATTTTAATATTTGCATTACTTTTTTCCCATTTGAACAAAGAGGATTCGGATTCCTTGAAAAAATAAATAAATATATTTATTATTAAATCAAATATTTGGATACAATTTTTATATTGTTGTTTTGTTCAATTTCTGACAATATTCAGAATTCGTTTTAAGACTACTGTCCAATTGGAGTTTGTAAAGGTTTCATTTTAATTTGACAAGGAACAAAAATGTTAATATGCTCGATTAAGGTTTTTTTTTTTCCTTTTTATTGCTAGGTGCATTAGAGTTTGGGAGCAACTATTAATGGAAAAAAGAAGAGGCGTTTTCAAACCAAAGGTTATATATATATATGACATTTTATTCTTTTGAATATAAGATTTATATCTATTTCAATATCTTTCAAAAAGTACTATAATCCCTTTTTAAGGTTTAAGAATCTTAAAGTTAATGTTTTTTTTTTCATATATTTAATTTAATTTTAATATATTTTTAAATAAAATATTTAAATATTATGTGATCAAATTAAATTTTAAAAGTACCATGATAAATTAATGATATTATTTTTTATACTTTTAAATTTATTTATTTAATATTTTAAGATATTACATATTTATTTCGCTTATTATTAATTATATTATTATATAAAAATTTATGTATATTTATAAATATATTTATATTAAATAAAAAATTCAAAATAATATGTTAAAACAACTTTCATCGACATATATTATCTTTTCAAAAAAACTGAAATATTATATATTAATAATTTTGTTTGAAATTATAATTTATTTAATATTATTTTTTAAAAATAATTGTATAAATTACCGGCATTAACCAGAGGATTCAAAACAAATATATATATATATATATATATATAATTTTTAATGCATTGGTCAATACCATTTATAAAGACAGTTATGCACCTAATAATCTTCACTACGCACCACAAAAATGAAGGACCAAACTGTCTTTTAATGGACTTGAATTTAAGCATGGTAATTCTCGAAGCAAAATTGATGGCGGAGGTTGTAATTAGCTTCCCAAACTATTGCCAATTAGTATTTAAGGCTCTAAATAATTTACCATAATTTATGTTAGATTTTCATGGTAATATTTCATTATATGGCTTTTTGCAATTAATTTTAAATTTTAAATTTAAAAAATGAAATATTTAAAGTCAAGTCAAGATATTAATCCACACTTAACAGTTAACAGTTTATAAGGAAAGGGCACCTTTAAAAGAAGTTACTATTAATTGAAAAAATTTTGCAAGATCCCATCAACGTTAAATTGTGTAGCCTAAATCTAAACGGACGATCAGGATCCAAATTGATTGAATCGGACGGCAGACATAGTAAGGTCTATTTGTGGTGGCCCAGAAGACGTTTCTACAATATTATTTCCTAAAGCCTTGTTTCGGGTGAAAAAAATTACTAATACTACTTACTACTTAAAAATAAAATAAAATAAATAAAAAAAGGGCTTCAAAGGAAAGATTATAAACAAGCTCAATTATCAAAATAATAAAAGAATAAATAAAAAATGAAAAGGATGCTCAGTTCTGTTGACAAGAAAAAAGATAAAGACAAATACAGAGTAGGGACTGGAGAGAGAGAAAAGGAAGTTAAACAGAAAACCAAAAATAAAAACAAAATGAAAGGAGGAGAGCATTGCCTCCAAAAGGTTTAAAAAAAATAAAGAATAAAAGATTTCTGTTTTGTTGGAGGGTTGAAACATCTGTAACTCTGTTTTGGCAATCAACATCATTATCCCTTTTTGCAGCTTTTACTTACAAAGGCCTCTCTCTCTCTCTCTCTCTCTCTCTCTCTCTCTCTTAACAGTTTCAGCTTCCACTTCTTTCTCACTTTCAATCTTTGTTTTGTACCTTTCTCCCCCTTTTTTTTGCTTTTTTGGGGGTTTTGGCTATGTATGTTTTATTTTGAAGTTTTAAAAACGGTGGATAGACTTGAAAAGATTGAAAGCTTTGGCTTTTTTATCTCCGTTTGTGCTCTGTTTTCTCTTCTGGGTTATTTCAATTGCTTATTTTACCAATGACCATGGAGGAGAGAATGGGTGGTTACAATGGTGAAGATGGCGGCAAGGACCGGTTTCCAGTTGGTATGCGTGTTTTAGCCGTTGATGATGACCCTATTTGCCTCAAAGTTTTGGAAAATCTGCTTCGTAAATGCCAATATCAAGGTTGGTCGTTCTGTTTCTTTCGAATTCTCATGAAATTTTCTTTTCATTTTTTTGCCAAAGATTTTGTTTTCAATTTGAAATTTAATCCTAATTTCTGTTTGATAAGTTAGTTACTGTTTATTGTTCTGTTGTTTTCAATCTTTAATTCGAATTTTCGTTTTTGTTCTCAAAGTGTTAGATAAATTGTCTTGATGCGTCTTCCCTTCGGGTTTATTGTGTGCTTGGTTAACTTTTAGATGCTGTTTCTGTCAGGAAGATCTGCCTCTTGTGCTTTGCAGTCTGCATTTGATTTGGATCTTTATAATTGTAATAATCAAGTTTTGATTCTTAACATTCTCAAGACATTGGGCTTGTTTTTGACATATCATTTATGTTTTTTTTTTTCCCTGCAGTTACCACGATCAATCAGGCAATTACAGCCCTCAAAATGTTGAGGGAAAACAAAAACAGATATGACTTGGTTATTAGTGATGTTAATATGCCAGATATGGATGGCTTTAAGCTTCTTGAGCTTGTGGGGCTTGAAATGGACCTACCCGTAATCAGTAAGCAGTAACCCTTTTTCCATTTAATTGCGCTGAATGATAGTCATTTGTTTTTGTTTTTGCTCTTTTCCCCTCCTTTGTCTCTTCAATTATTTGTGGAATGAATGAACTTTCTTATCTTTTTTTTTTTATTATTACATGCTCCCTTGAAAGGTTAAAGTTCAGTAGTTTACTAAAACCATAATGTTCTAGGTTTGCTAAATTTGAGTAATAGATTAGAATTGTTTCAAAATGATTTAATATAGTTACTTTCTGTTGATGAATTCCAGTGTTGTCGGCTCACAGTGATACCAAGCTTGTTATGAAGGGTATTACCCACGGTGCTTGTGACTACTTATTGAAGCCTGTTCGCATTGAGGAGCTAACAAACATATGGCAACACGTGGTCAGAAAAAAGAAACCCGACTCTAAAGATCAAATTAATGCCCCAAATCAACATAAGGCTCAGGGACAAACTGGAGAAGCTGGTCAAACATCAACGAGCAGTTCTGACCAAAAAGTCTATAAGAAGCGAAAGGACCAAACCGAAGATGAGGAAGAAGAGGGTGAAGATAATGGACATGAGAGCGAGGACCCCTCAACCCAGAAGAAACCTCGAGTTGTTTGGTCTGTAGAGCTGCATAGGAAGTTTGTTGCAGCTGTCAACCAATTGGGGCTTGACAGTGAGTTTTCTGCTGTTGAGATTAGTGTCTTATTGTCTGGCACAGTGACCCTCATGCCCAACATTTTTAATTTTAGTTTTCATTTTCTCTTTATTCAAATGCAGAGGCTGTTCCAAAGAAAATTCTTGACCTTATGAATGTTGAAGGGCTCACAAGGGAAAATGTAGCAAGCCATCTACAGGCAAACCCTTTCCTCTGTGTTTTTTATTTTCAGCATTGTCATTCCTATATATTGCGCTTGCAACAATTATCAGTTACTAGTATGCATGTTAAAGTTTTAAGTATACTTGGGATCTAGTTGAGAGGTTGCCAGCTCTGTAGAAAAATTAGATACTCTGTTGAGAATAGCTGAATAAAATACAGTAGCGATCTGGTGTGTACAAAAGCTTCACCTACCATGGGCTCGTCGTTGCCTCCTATTTAATTGGCTGTACTAATTTGTAATAGAGAGAGTTTCCTTACTGTTCTGCCCCCTGTTAGAACCAGCTCATAGTTTATGAAGTTATTGCAACCCCAGTTCAAGCTGGTAAGAGTTAGGCTGGGCCATATAGACAGGGAAAAGTGCAGATACTTGAATCACGACTTTTAATAAAAATATGCAGTAACTGGCTAGTTGTCCCCTCCTTAAGCTTACTGTCTTATTTTGTCTCGCAGAAATATAGGCTTTACCTGAAAAGACTTAGCAGTGTTGCATTCCAGCAAGCAAACATGGTTGCTGCATTAGGCAGTAAAGATCCCTCTTGCTTGCGCATGGATTCACTGGATGGTTTTGGAGATTTTCGCACATTGACTGGACCTGGAAGGCTTTCAAGTGCTTCTCTATCTTCATATCAACCCAGCAAAATGTTTGGTAGACTGAATTGCTCAGCTACATTAAGCCTACGTGGGATTTCTTCTAGTGTGATTCAACAGGGACATTCTCAAACTTTGAACAATTCCGACAACGGTCTTGAGAAGATCCAGCCAGCAGTGTTACCTGCAAACCAGAATCAAAATGGAACTTTGTTTCAAGGGATCTCAACACCAATAGAGCTTAACCAACTGTCACAGAACAAGTCCACTAACCACTTTGCAGAATTTAATTGTGTTAATGATCCAAATGTTTTTGGTAGCTTGAGCAATTCTCTATCTACTGCCTCAGGCAACCCCTTGTTGTTACAAGCAAGCATACAACAGATGCAACGTAGTGGTGCATTAGGAAATCAGTCATCTCTTGGGGTGACATCACTGATTCAGGAATCATTTGACATGGGCGTTGATGGTTCTTCTAATTTTCTTGATCATGGTAGATGCAGTGAAAACTGGCAGGGCACAGTTCAATTATCCAATTTCCCGTCAAGTTCATTGTCAAAAAGTGAAGCTTTTAGTCATGAGCAATTGCCAACTAATAATTTGCAAGAAAGCATCTCTTGGATGAGCTCTCACTTTAGTAACAACCCTATTGATCTTTCTTCCATGGCAAATTCAGCACGTTTGGAGGACTGTAGAGGAAACATGCAGGGCCAAGTGGGTCTAAGTGATAATGACATTCAGAATATGGATTACACAGCAAAGCAACAGTGGGGAGACCGCAGACACGATTACAATGGAAATTTAAATCATTCATTAAGCCAGGTGTACCCTCTGGATTCTGCAAGTGGGCCTATGGTGGACCAAAGCAATGCCATCAGCACTAATACAACTGATGTTTCTTTGTTCAGCCAATTAAGTGGTGAGGCTACTTATGTTGTTCAGCACCTTGAGGATGAGAAATCATTTTTTGACACAAAATTGAGGTCCAATGAGGACTTCCTCTTCGAGCAGACAAAGCCACAGAATGGTTTCAGTGAAAATAATTTTGAATCCTTGGAGGATGTAATGAGTTCCATGATCAAACCGGTATGACAAGAGAACTTCCTTTGCCTCTGTCGGTTTACTTTTTGATGTTTTCTTTTTCTTGTCCATGTCATAGTCTAAAGTGGGTGTTGAATGTGAGATTCTGTAAAGCACAGTAAGCACTATAGTTAGCACTACATAGTTGGGCATAGAGATAAAGGTATAAAGCTTATTTCCTTGACATGTATTACGTGTCTTCTCCATGCTTATAGTTTCCTTCTCAATGCTTATAGTTTCTTTTTTGCTAGTCAAATATAACAATTAGTGCCAAACAGTGAATTCGTGTATGCTTAAGAATTGTGAAAGATGTTTATTTCTCTATATTCCAAGATATATAGAGTGGATATGTTTTCAAGTCTCCATAAGAACAAGGAGTGGAACTTTTGTCATCCCAGAATCCAACTAATCAGTAATTGGCAAAATAAGTTGGGAGTAAGTTGTCTCTGGTTAAGACTATTTAATTTCCTTGAAACGCAACATGTAAGAAAAACGAATGACTGAACCTGGTTTATAGTTTAGCCTTTGTAGGTTAATCTCCTTTTTTTATATATTTTTAAAAATATATACTTATTCCTTACTAGAATGGATTCTTCAAAATGACTATCTCTGATGCAGGTGCAAAGTAAGGATACTACATTGATGGATGGGGAATTTGGATTTGATGCATACCCCATCGGGTCATGTATATGAGACGGTTGATGCTGATTCTCAGATAAAAGACGGTGACAAAGGCATAAATCTACTCCTCTTTATGGGGGTCTGTATCAATATGCAATTTATTTATTCTCTAATGCTACTTTTGATTTCTAGTTGAAATTGATGACAGCATCCTCCTCCTTTTTGGAATTCTTTTTTCATGTCCTTTTACCCATTTGATGGAATATAGCTTGAGAAATTTACAGTTTCTCAGTTTTCTTAGTTTTAGTTTCGTTTGTATCTTATTTCTCTAAATTTCATTTGAAGGTATAAGCATTTATCCTGCTGTGACCAAGAACTTCAAATTTCAGTATTTCACCAGCAAAAATATATATTTTATCTTAATTTTTTAGATGTAAGCCCTTCGGTTTGCATAATAGTACTTGGAATATTGAAGGCTACATTTGGTTGTTATTTCTTGTATTTATTATCATTCAGAATACCATAGGGGTGTGGTTGATGGTTTTCTTATTTGGATTGGTGTCATTTTTCCTTAATAATTTGATAACAAGAACATATTCGTGCATATTTTTTAGTAGTTCGTGGATAAGGAAAATGATTGCAGGTAAGGGTGTAAATGATATATCAATGCTTGTAAGTTATTCATTCAATTCGAATAAAATTCAAATACGATTCGATTATTATCAAGTTTAGTTCAAGTTGGAGTAATTCAACTTATCAAGTAAGTTGAGTTAGAATATTTTAATGCTTGATTTAAGTAGTTTGTGAATTTAATCGAATTTTTATATTTTAATAAATGATTTATTATTTTAATTAAAAAATTATTATTTTACTTTTTTATATATCAATTTTAACGTTAGTCCGAATATAATAATCGATCTTGAAATTGGGTGTAAGAATCAAACTTATTTTTAAGTTGGTAAATGAACCTTGAACTTGAATAGTTTGATTTTTATTTTTAGTTGAATTTTAGTTTGAAAATTAAAATTCAATCAAATTCAACTAACTCGAACTTTTTATTATAAAGTCTTAGTTCGATTACATCTCTAATTATAGATATTAAAATTTAAATCTCTGATCTATTAGATACTATAACTTACAAATTACTTCTTTGTTTACAATTAGTAGTATTCCTAAAGACCAACAACCAAATGACCTATTAATAAAATATTAAATTCTTAACTTTAATAATTATAATTTAAATCTTGACACCATAAATATCTAATAGTTAATTTTGTAGAGTTTGGAAGAAAGGAAGGATGTCCATGGCACCCTCACCTTCTTTTAAATTTTACAATTTTTATTTTTTGTTTTTATGTTTTATTATACGTTTTATTATTTTTATTAGATAAATTTTGTAAAAAAAAAATTAATAAAAGTAAAGATAATAAAATAATTCATATATGAAGAATATTAATCAACCTTAATTCAAAAAGTATTAGGTATCAATTCATCCCCATTTAAGAGGTGCATTTTGTAATATAATTTGGGAATGAGTTAATTTTTTTAAAAAAAAAAAATTGTGGTCAAGTTGACAGTGATTTTATAATAATCGGTCCGATATATATAAAAATATTTTTTATTATTAATTTAATTTTGTATTAATATATATGTATTATATTATTGGATAAATTATATAAATAATTATTTAATTATTGGAGTTATTTTAAAATAATTATTAAGAGATTATAATTTTTAATATAATCATTAACGTTTGAATAAATATTTTTTAAGTCATTGTAACGTTAAAATCATAAAATTTATCTTATATGATTTCACTTATCAAAAAAAATTTACTTACATGGTAAATAAAAGGCCACGCAGCATGGTTAACTCAAAAAATTATACCCGTTAACTTTAGGTTTTGGATTAAACAAATTTAGGTTATACTTTGGGTTTTAGAAAATGAGTATTTTTTGAGACAATAGAAATTAGGATTAGAATTTTAAGGATTTTATGATTTAAAAAGGAAATTAAGGATTTTATGGTGTGGGTTGTTGGCTACGATTAACGATTACGGTCCTAAAATCCTTAAATTTCCTTTCTTAGGTTTTTTGGTCCTCGTGAACAAAGGTTTATTTTAGTTAGTTTTTATTGTTGATCTGGTTCATTTTGAATGGAAAAATGGTAAAATGCCTAAATAAGTCAGTGATGAACCAATATGCAGAAAGCCTCTATAATCAAGATTGTTGCCCATTCTAGGAATAAATAATACAAGAAAAATGGGGTAAATTCTATGATATGGCACATTTGTGAATAGGGTCAGTGTTTTATGGCAGATCAAATAGCTGTCCTGTTCAGGTTCCTTTTGTGATCTCATCGTCCATATTTCTCTTGTAACCAAAATTTAGTTTGGCTCGCAGAAATAAAAATTTGTTCATAGGTTGATTAGGCTTAAGTTCTTCATGCTTTACGTATAGATGTGCAATACAAATATACCCGATTCTGCCAATTGTTTTACCAAGTTGCTGGCATATAATCAGAGTACATTAAAACCAAAAAGTTCTAGGAAGAAACATGGCAGTTCTGTATCACTAAAGATCATCTAATCACAGTTTTTATACGCACATCAATCAATTAACATTGAAAGGCATTTGGACTTGTAGTTTTGTTGAGCTCTGTACAACTGTTGTCTAGGAGTAAAGAATTAGTGGCTTGCTAGGAGTATTATCATTATGTTGTTCATTTTTAGATGATTAGTATTGGTTTTAGATGGAATTCTACTAACAGGAATCTCCTAATTCCTTTTCAAGGTTTGAGACTTGTCATTGATGTATCAACTTGGTCCTAAACCTTTGCATTCATTGTGGTAATTGTATATTTCTTGTATATATTGTGATCTTACTGAAGATGGCCAATAGGATCGGTAATTTTATCTTTTCTGTGGGGTTGGGTTGGACCAATTTTTATGTTCTTTTTTTTTTTTTGGCGGAATTTGAGAATCCATGTTACGCCGGTTCAAAAGCTCTATTACATCAGTTCAGTGAGCCAACTCTTGTCTGATAACACCATCCCAAGCTAATATTATCAAATTGATGCCATAAAAGGGAATACACCATTTAACTTAACATAGCACCAATTAGTGTGTCAGATACTACATTTCTATTTCTTGGTTTCTGATGATCTCTGTACTGAACTCGATCGAACAAAGGTTAATCAATCTTGCATTTTCGGAGGCACACCCGCAGACTAATGTTGCTGCACAAATTAGTCCCATCAAAGCAAGAAGCAAAACGGCAACAATGGGCAAAAAGGAAATCCATAATAATAAAATGGTATATAGACAGAAATATAGAAATCAATACTGTTAGAACTCCAAGATTTACATGAATTAATGCAATCAAAACCATCAGCAAGAACAGAGGAAAATACTCTTTCTTTATTTTGTAATCAAAAAGTACCTCTGGAAATTACAAGATAGTGCACCTATGGGATGTATTCTAAACTTGCTCTAAAGTAATTAGCGATCATATGGTAAGCTATGTGATCAAACACCTAAATGTAGTTCTTGGGATTTAATATCTAAAACGACAGAACTATGTGCCAGTCATTTTCATCGTTTTTGCAAACTTCTTAGATGGTAGGTTCATTTTGCATCAGTGCACATATTCCCCATGTTCCATTATCATGTTTCCTCCAAGACATTTTGTGTGCTATACATTTTTTTAATGCTACTAAAATGGAGGAAAAAAACAAGGCTGGACAGATACCATGAGGAAACCATAAGCATCGAGAACTTCTTACAAGCCAAAACAGAGTAAACCATAATAGCCAAGCGATATCCAACAATCCATGGCAACATCACTTCCAGAAAGCAGTATCTCCAATCTTGTCCTGCTTTAATTGTAGAATTCCATGCTTGCAATTCTGATAATGAAATATCTACACCAGTCACAGGAAGTCCATTTATATCACGGACTTGAATTTTTAAGTTCACAGGAAATGCATCCCAATCGATCTCAATTGCTCCAAAATTTGGTTCGCCATAAGTTCACAGTAATGTGCATGACCACTTGAATTTAGAATCATAATAAACATATTATAATTGTGGGCATGATTTCAGATTATCCATGCAACTTTATTTGGTTCAAATTTTTATACTGATAGATCTTTATTTGTCCAGGTCATGATATTGTAGCAACTTTTAATGTTGAGAAGCCGGTTTCTTTGCTGGAAGATAATCTCTTGCAGCTTGAAAGTGACATTCTGGATGAGATAGGCTTTCCCGCAAGCAAAGTATATACTTTGATCCTTTTGTTAATAAATGTACTTCACATTATTTTTGCCTACATCTGATTAGTTCTTTGAACCAGGTGGTTATCTTATCTCTCAAACCTTTAACTGGATCAAACATAACAAAGTTTGTCTGCGGGGTCCCCTTTGTCATTTTGCAACATCTGATTGTTTCGGCTTTCATCCATTTTGTAACATTCCCTTAATGGAGGTGATGGCACTTCAAACTCATGGTCACCTTTTCCTGCCCCTTTGCCTCATCCCAGCCGCAATCACCGTCATCACCACCACCACCATCATGTTGCTTATCTAGCTCCTGCAGTTTCACCTGCTACATCAACTGAGAAAGGTGTACCCGCATCTGCAGATTACTCACCTTTTCCTAAGATAATTTAACCTGATCTCCTAAAATCTCTAAATTCCTTAATTTCCTTTCTAAATCACAAAATCCCTAAAATCCCAACCTTAATTTCTATTGGCATTAAGAGAATATCCACTTTCTAAAACCCAAAGCAAAACCTAAATTTGTTTAACTCCAAACTTAAAGCTAACTTGTATAATATTCTAAGTTGACCATGTCATTTGATCTTTTATTTGCTATATAAATAAACAAACCGTTTTTATGAGTGGAGCCACATCAAATAAATATTATAGTTTAACGATATAGTGACCCTAAAAAAAATACTTATACAAATGTTAGTAATTAAATTAAAAATTTTAATACTTTAGTGATATTTTAAAATGATCCCAATAGTTAAGTGATCATTTATGTAATTTATTCTATATTATTTTAATAAAATTATTATTCAATATCTTAATTTACTAAATTAAGATAAATTTTTCCATTTTATTTGTTTTTTAGTTTTTGGTATTTTTTAAATTAAATAAATTTTGTAAGAAAAAAGTTAATGGAGATAAAAATAACAAAATAATCCGTATCTAATGTATTTTGACTCATCTCGATTCAATAGGTACGATTTTTTTTAAATTCAAGATTGGGTCAAAGTTTTTTTTTTTTTTTTTTGAAAATTAGAGTCAAGTCAAAAAATGAATTTAGAGACCTCATCTAAGGTAAATATAAAAATATATATTTATTATTTATTTAATTATATATGTATTATATTAATAAAACTATTATTTAATATCCTAATTTAATAACAATATTATATTTATACATAATTAAATATAATTTATATTGAAAAATAATATTTTTATGAACATTATATTAAATTAAAATTATCAAATTACTTTTTGATCAATTTGAATCGAATGTGCATTATATATATGTGGCAGGCTATATCAAGTACTAAT